CCAAAATTTTGCATGGTATAGGTTGTACAACGATGTGACGAGGAAATTTTCAAAGGTGGGGTGTCACATTTGATTCTTGGCACTCATGTACATGTCATTAGGTAGATTCAGGTTTGCTTGGCACTTGGAACGATACAGAAGATTAGCATGGCAGACTTGCTGTTGACACAGCACAAATCAAGAAGTGTACTTTCCTTGCCGCACAGTGGCTCAAAGCAGTCATAGGAAAAAGGCGCGTTCAGTGGCGCACTTGTCTTTGAGAGAATGAGAATGAGAATCGGAATGGGAATGAGGATGAGGATGAAAATGAGAATGGGTGCGGGTGAGAGCCAGGGTGGGAGTGAGAATGAGAGTGAGAGTGAGGGTGAGAGTGCGAGTGAGAGCGAAGGTGAGAATGAGAGCGAGAATGGGAGGGAGAGGGAGAGGGAGAGTGAGAGGGAGAGTGAGAGTGAGAGTGAGGGTGAGGGAGAGAGTGAGAGTGAGAGTGAGAGTGAGAGTGAGAGTGAGAGTGAGAGTGAGAGTGAGAGTGAGAGTGAGAGTGAGAGTGAGAGTGAGGGTGAGAGTGAGAGTGAGAGTGAGAGTGAGAGTGAGGGTGAGAGTGAGAGTGAGGGTGAGAGTGAGAGTGAGAGTGAGAGTGAGAGTGAGAGTGAGAGTGAGAGAGTGGGAGTGAGAGTGAGAGAGTGGGAGTGAGAGTGAGAGTGAGAGTGAGAGTGAGAGAAGTGACAGTGACAATGACAATGACTCTGACACTGAAAGTGGGACTGAGGGCCAAGTTTCACAATCCGGCCGGGAAGTTTCACAATCCGACCGGGAAGTTTCACAATCCAACCGGAAAGTTTCACAATCCAACGTTGACCGACTGAGGGTGAGGCCGAGAGTGCTGGTGAGAGTGAAAGTGAGGGGGAGAGCGCGGGTGATGTTGAGGGTGGGTGTGAGGGCGAGGGTGTGAGCGTGAGTATTAGTGTGAGTGTGAGTGTGAGTGAGTGTGAAGGTAGGGGCGGGTGTGAATGTGAGTGCGAGGGCGAGCCTGCGTGTGAGTGTGAGTGTGAGTGCGAGTGTGAGCGTGAGCGTGAGTGTGAGTGTGAGTGTGGGTGTGGGTGTGAGCGTAAGCGTGGGTGTGAGTGTGAATGTGGGTGTGGGCATGGGTGTGAGGAGGGCGAGCGTGAACGTGAGTGTGAGTGTGAGCATGGGGGTGGGTGTGAGCGTGAGTACGGTCGTGAGTGTGAGTTTGGACGTGAGTGTGAGTGTGAGCGTGAGCGTGAGTGTGAGTGTGAGCGTGAGCGTGAGTGTGAGTGTGGGTGTGAGTGTGGGTGTGAGTGTGAGCGTGAGTGTGAGTGTGAGTGTGGGAGTGGGTGTGGGTGTGGGCGTGGGTGTGGGCGTGAGCGAGTGCGTAAGTTGCCGGGGAACGGTTCAAATGGTGGAGGAGGGCAGCAAGTGACATGCCGTTGTTCCTGAATGGTCTTAATTTTATTTCTTTCTCTTTGTAATGTAGTATGTTTGCGTGCTCCGGTTAGTGCAGGCTAGGTCGTTTCGCTGTCGGCAAGCGCTGAGACTGAAAATCGGCGATCGTGCTTACTAGAAACCGGTTACCGTGTTTTGACGACAGCCTTGTTCCTCGATCATAAGGTGGAGAGACCAAACTGACAAAGGTTTCCTTCCATGCATCGTGGAAACTCTGATGTTGGACACATGTATGTTTTAAACAAAGCAGGCGAAATGGAATGGTGCTGTGCATTTTAATTTTGTCCTTTTTGTTCCCCCACCATTTGGAAAATCGGTGTGCAAAAATTGAGCAATGTTTTTGTTAGATGTTGTCCAGTGAGTACAATTGAAATTGAAGGTTTCGAATCCCACTGGGTTTTGGACTTTGCTGTCCACTAGCCAAATTTCACCCAAGTTTCGCCTAACCAATCCTCACCGTTTCTTTCACCCACAAAGCTGAAATCCAATGTGTGATTGGCATTTTGCAGGCGCGATCTCAAACCACCTCTTGACGCGGCCAGCCTTACGTTGATCTTAGGACAATCTTCCGCGTTTCCTGGAAAACTTCTGCCATGCGCATTGCGTTTTTTGTAGTTGAGCACGTGCAAGTGCAGATATGTGTGCATAGACATGTTGTTACTTCGAGTGTTCCCCACCTTGGTAAATTCTTCTGAACTAATTTTTGTGATTTCGTGTTTTGCGAACGTTAGCCATGACCATCGTCCGAAACTTGGGCGTTTTCTAACTTAGCTTTCATTGACAATGGAAAGAAACAGCGCAAAATCTTGATTTTTTTCTTGAACGGAGAAAACTTATCAAAACAGGAGGAAAAGCAGAGATAGAGATATGCAAAGACCTTCGAAGTTCCCAGGATTTTCAGTTTTTTGCGCCTTTTCTATTTGAAAGGGAATGCAAATATGCGCAAACACATACTAGCCATACAGTTGATAGTTTGTAGATGATGGGGGAAACTAGGAACCTCCATCGATGGGGTAATACAGGGGATTGCCTAGCGAGCCATGTTTGATTTCCGAAAACCTTCTATCTATGTATCTATCCATCTATCTGTCCATCTGTCCATCTATCTATCTATCTATCTATTTATCTATCTATCCATCCATCCATCCATCTATCCACCTTTCCATCTATCCATCCATCTATCCATCTATCCATCCATCCATCTATTTATCTATCTATCTGTCTGTCTGTTTGTCTATCTGTCTATTTATTTATCTATCCATCTACTTTTGTATCCATCTACTTTTTGTCATTTCAGTTTTGTCTGTCATTTTGTTTGTCATTTCAGTTTTGGTATATATGTGTTTTTTTTTTGTCATTTGAATTTTGGTTTGTCGGTTTGTTTGTCATTTTTTGTCATTTGTGTCAAATAGATTTTTTTTTTTTTGTGTCATTTTTTGTTACGTTTTTTTTTCAGATGTTGTATTTCTATTTGTTCCTGGTGGTTGCTCGCTGGAGCTGCGATGTGAACTAGTTCGAAGTAGTTGGCCACTCTGCTTGACATGCTGGGTGCTAGCGCATGCAAGCAAATCATTCACTGCACAAGGTGGGTGTAATGGATGTAGTGTATTTACTGCAAGTCATGCATGCGCTTCAATGTCATGTTGTTAAACGCATGTATTATCTCTAGTGTAAAAAATGTAATCTATTTACTGCCTACGCTGTTCGGCATGTATGATGGGGATGGTTTTCCGTGGTGTATTATATTAAATCAAATCAAATCATTCACATGCTTGATGTGCTGTATTTAGATGTCGTGTATGCGATGTATGCCTTCTTTGTGGTCTATAGGGCCTATGTCGTCTATGTGGCCTATGTTTGCCTTCATGTAATCATGTATGCTTGACTGGATGTATGTGGGAATAATTTCATTGAATGATTCCATCACTATTGGTACTTCTGCCAAGATGTAATTTCACCATTCTATGCTTATCCCTTCCCAAGGGAAAACCAAAAATCATGAAAAATGCCAAAAACATGACAATTTTTTGATGGAAAACCAACAAGTCGAGAGGCTAAAGGTTGAAGTTCGCCACAGCAAATGTCACATCCGTCAGGAGGTGATTCCAGCAACTTTAGGTTTGTGTGCAACTTAAAGTTTGCGAGAACGCGCAAACTTCACAGAAAATATGTCCGTATGTGCCGCATGGAATTGCAAGGTCGCATGTCAAAGTATAGGTCAGATTTTAATGTCAGGGTCAATGTTCGGAAATATGCCGGAAAAGATTCAAGTTGTTACGCGAGCAAACATGGCAGAATGCATGTCATCATAAATGTATACAGCAGTATGCAGAGAAAAAAAAATGTCGGGATATTTGCTCATCATCGGGCATGTCAGAGAAATTTTCTCACAGCGATCACGCGAAATTCATTGGGGAGGCATTGGTTCCCCCTGAGGAGCCAGCGAGCTGGCGAGTTTTCAAAGATTGCGGGAAAAAATCATCATGCGGCAACACATTTTTACGGTGTTTCATGATAAACATATGGTTTTTCATATTACGTTCGGCAAGACCATGGTCTCGGAAGCTTGCCCTTCAAAAACAATACATTGCTGTGTTTGGCTCAGAACCAGTCAGCCTGAGCCCCAGTTCGGCGCACATTACAGGCAGCTTGGTGGGGGCAGCTCGGTGAAGTGATGGGGACCGGTTTCATCAGATAATCACAGATAATCTACCCTCTGGTAAACAATCATAGCTAATTATTGAAAATTGTGATTTGTAGTGGATTTACCGATTAAAAATGGTGATTTTCCATAGTTCTGTTAGTTTACCAGAGGGTAAGTGTTGAACAACCAATATACCAATATAGTCCAACATATTTGAACATACACATGTATGTCACATGTTACACCGTGTGTTACATATATGCCCCATATACCAACTCACCCCTACGACACCATTTGGAGTTCAGATCCAGCCCATTGGAAGTCCGGCGGGATCTCTTTGGAAAAGTATCTGCAACCGATCAGTGGTTGATGGCAGCTTCGCAACGACCTCACCGTGAATAGTGGTCAATTTTTTTCAGGGAATTATCATTGGTGCTTTGGAAATTCCGAAAATTTTCGATGATGTTGGAAGATTGCAATAAGTCAATATAAGTCAGGGATTTCCATCAGCCGCTTCAGGATTTTGTGTTTTGTAAGACTCGATGGTTACCATTCTAGCTGAAGTCCCTCTTGCTTTAGCAAGGTGTTGGCAGGGGCTACTACCCCCTGCCTCCCCGTTTTTTTTGGACACAGTTTTGCCGCGGCTCAATACTGCCTCAGGGACATCGCCATATCGTGCCACCCCAGCAACAGTAGCATCATGTAGCAACATTTGGATGTTTTGATTGTCATTATATAAGGACATGCATAATCATTGCATGTGCACGCATTGACATGTATATTGTACCCCTTGTAATACCAGTACATTTCTATTAAATGTGTGTGCTGCACTCAAAAGCATTTGATATGTATTAATAGATGCGTTGCCTTAGTTAGCACTGCACGGTTCAGCGCGCAGGCAGTGGACGTGTTTGCCCCGGTGCAATGATTGAGGCTGGAAGCTGGGGTTCAACTGCATCTAAGATGATTTTCCACTCGCTACAGTACAGTAAGTACATTACCAAAAGGTATATATGGATTATATGGGAAGTGGAAAGGGCCCAAATGAGTCACAACGATTAGCGATACTTTCCTTTTTGAGCTTACGTGTAGGGTGTATTATGGTGTATTATTGGTTTCACTGCAGTGCCCGGAGGAGCGTGCCAATGGATAAGTGCTGCAGAACCTTGGGTAGGTCGCCAAAGAATAGTTATATACATATCCATTTGCGGCCTAGAAGCATAGTTGTCAAGCAGTTCCCAGCTGGGTGTGTCATGAAAGGTAGCATCAGCTACCCGAGTTAATGCGCGTTATGTTTTGAGATCAAAAAGGTAATCTTCCGTTGGGGTCGGTGGGGGGGGCATCGATTCCCCCCAGGGACATGTTTAGTGTCATGGCAGGGGTCTATAGGTTGCAAATAGTGGCTCAAAGTGCAGTGCAGCAACCGCCTGTGCATAGACCGCAAAGGTCCGATTGAACATCGTTGCCAGTATTGTGATTGCCGTCGTCATCCTCATCATCATAGTTCTCGTCCTCATCATCCCCATCGTCATCCGCAGCATCATCGTCAGCACACTCCCCAGCACACAATTGATTTGAATTATACCAATTTTTACTTGTAGGTGCCCAAAGATATCCTGATTACGTTGCTGGTGGCGGTCCCCCTGACAATCATGATAACAATAACATTTTGCCATACCCAAGCCTATTGCAACCCTAGCAGTTTTTGACGTACGACTCTTGCCACAGTAATTCTACCCACAGAGGCCGCGTGTTGCCCAGACATTAACATTGAGGATGTCGTGTTGTTGAATAAGATAGGAGAACACAGAGTTTTTTTGGTTTAGGATTCAAAGTTTTCAGGGTTTAGGCTTTAGGGTTTAGGGTCTAAGGTTTTAGGGTTCTAGGGTTTAGGGTTTTTGGGTTTAGGATTTAGGGTTTAGGGCTCGTTGTCTGGGAAATCTCAAGACACTGGTCCTGCGCAGGTGTTCGAGCATGTTGAAGGATAATGCTTAAATGCCATGTGAACTTTCCGGGCAACACGCAGCGCCTGGCCGTAATTCTACATTATCCCCATGTCACAACCAAGGCCCGATTGATGACCACAAGCTTCCCGGCAGGTAGACGCTTCCTTCCACGTGCCAGAGAAGTCTGAATCGCCACTTTTATCAAGGACCAGACAGGGATTCTATGGGACAAACACTAACAGGTCAAAAGAAAAGCATGAAGAAATCTTCAACGCAGATTTGGCCATTCTTGGTACCAGGTTAGTGGTTAGTGATAAACAGAAAACTGCTCAATCAACAGTTTTTTAAGCAGCTTCTGTAGTGCAGTGCTTTGGTACTTTCAGTACTTTTATCTTGGAGAGTGCGTGGCTCCTCAGCAGTTCTCCACACAGCACCCCTTCGCTGCCAGGAGCAATTCAAGTTACAGTACCGATGTCGGTTATGCCTCAGGCGGATCGGAACGGATCGGAACGGGACTCGTCAACTCGTCAACCCAAATGGGACCGAACCTGGTGGGTGGTTTGATGAGTTTAGTTACTTTCATAAGATATGGACTGATGATCTGATCTCCAATTTCATTTTATATATATACACGCATACATACGTGTTATATATATATATGTATATGTATATACCGTATATAGTAAACTATATTATGTATGTATATATATACATATGTGTGTGTATGTATGTGTTTGTGTGTGTGTCTGTGTGCGTGTGTGTATGTGCGTTTAATTACAGTATTTGTTTGTTTTAGTTACGTGGGGTAGATTGAGTTGCATGTTTGGCACGTGGTAGGATAGGCGACATATACATTGCAGCAGCATTGCAAGATCCCATAACTATGAGGAGAGTTTTGGTTCATCCATCGAAGTATGGAAGCAGAACCACATGGGTTTATCGTAGCTGGTTCCATGTTGGTTTTGAACCAATCCAACATGGAAACCAATATCAACCTGTATTTTTTTGTTTGATGTTTAATGTTGTGACAGATTTTTATGATCCAACGTGACATGGGACATATGAAGACCACGTCCTCAACAAATCTCGGCTGTTTCCGTCCAGGCTCTGCTGGTTCCTCACCACTACCACCGTCGCCGACCGGGCGGCAGGCGAGTGGGTGAACTATTTCCAGCCGAGCTTTTCAGGCTGATTTCACCGGATCTGGTGGAAAACTTGACAGCGGTTCAACAGAACGGCGATGGCACAGCCAGGAGTCAGCAACGAAATTCGGGCAGGACTGATTGGACTGATCAAGCGAAAAGGAACATGTGTAGATGTATCTTGGCGTGGCCATGTAGGGTCCGTTACCTTCACCATTGCACATTGAGTACCATTGGTTTCCGCCTTGTCAGCGCTAGGACTTCGTGGATGGAGCTTATCCAGTTCCATTGATCGTTGTGCGAGACGCTGCCAGGGGCCTAAGATGGCGAGGACCCAACGTTTTGAGAGCAGACTGTTGTGCCGGGTGGTAAACAACACCAATGACCCATCATGTTGGTTGAACAGACCTAATCATGGGATTTTCATCCATCTTTGGCAGCAACAAAACAAAACCCATGTAATTCAACCGAAATAAACGAGCTTTTGGGCTGATTTATTCGGAGATAACCATCTCAAATAGATTCAAATAGCACAGGAATATTTCTTGGGGAGTTCAACTCCCAATTGATTAATTTTAGTAGGGTCTAAACATCTGGGGTTGACGTTGCTGTTGTCCACCCAAAGCTGGCTGCTTTCTCCAACACCTTGCGGCCTTGCGTTCCTGAGAATGGCTTTCCGGAGCACTTTCCTCTCCGCATCCGCAACACCTTTCTTGACATTAAGGACGGGGGCCTACGGATGTCGGATGTCTGTAGTTGGTGGTCGAACAGTTTGTCTCCTTGTTGCTGTGGGGCCTGTGGCGATGACATTTCAGAGAACCCCTCATTCCATTTCCACATACACATCCATTCAAATTCAGGTATGGTTCCAAATGAAAGAGGCACCGATCCATGAAAACGGCACAAGTTACATTGTTGCCCCAGAAATCCGCAGTGCCGATCTGATCGCCGTTCATCCGAATGGGGTAAGCCATCGTAACCCCCATGAAGAACGGCACCTGGACCAGCCTGGATCAGCCGTAAACATCACCTTTGGTCAGATCCAGGGTTTTCGGCCGGGCCAATGCCAATGTGTCGTGAATTTTCAAAACCGCCCCACAAGACCAGTACATAGCGGCATATTTTGGATACTTCTCATAAAGATGCAAAGGAATCATCGTTTTTGAGCATTTTCAGAATCCCGTCCCCATATTTCGGATTCTGAATCTAAATTGGGAGGCAAAAAACATCAAAAAACCATGGGTTTTCCCATCTTTTTGGGGCGATGAATTGGCAGCACCAGCTACTTAGAACCTGGCTGTGGCCAGGTTCTCGGTGCCATTCCACTGGAATTTCCCTACCACTACGGTAGTCTACCCCGCGGAAGATCTGCAAGTTGTAGAAGATTTCATGGGGTGAACCCAATGGACTTTTCATATCTATGCTGTCTATGCTTGATTGTTTTGATTCGGTTGATTTCGGGAAAACCTGCGGCAAACAACTTTTTTTACACTCCAAAATGCATGGAGGGCTACAACGATCAGCATAGAAGAACATCCGGGATGAATAAGCCTAGGGCGATTAAATATGATTGATTCATTGGGATTACTACCAAAAATTCCATTCTGCTACCATCCCTGAATTGGATGGGACAATTTTGCAGGAACCCCATCATCTAACAGTAACAACAATGGTTTCCTGTAGATTTCCTCCCCGTAGCTGCACAGACGCCGGGATCCAACGTGGAATTGGAGGAACGCATTGTTTGGAGAGCTCAGGACAGGAGAAGATTCATGGGGAAAAGCCAAGAATGTACTGTGGGTATGAATATTTTGTGATATAAATATATATATATATTATACTCTCTCTCTCTCTCTCTTTTTCTCTCTATACTATTATATATGTACATATATACTGTTATATAATATATGTATATATACTGTTATATGTATATATATATACACATACATGTATTTGTGTATAGAGAGGTATTTTTATAATATTTGATCATTACAATTTGGGTACGGTTAGTTTTTTTGGGGTCAAACTTGAACATGCCGTGAGTCCCCGGTGGGGTCTTGGCCGTTGTATGACTCAACCACTTGAACCATTACCAAATTTTATGGTAGACATTGCTATGTACCGCGTTTGGGTGCAACGTTTAGGCATGTCGAAAATGGCGACAACACACATCCCAGATCATCCCAGGTCCGTTCTTGCCCTGTCAGCAGAATGGTTTCTGCTTGTTCCGACCGTGGCATGGCTTGGTCGGGGGCATTTTTTGGGCAATACCTGTGTGACCAGGGCGCCATGCCCAAGATTCATATTATGAGCAACCGACACATCTGCCACCATAAAAAAAATACCAGTGGTGGCTGGGGGTTGTAGCGACAAGTATGATGAATCATGTGTCTATGTGAGCTCCAGTAGAATGTAGATGATCTTGTCAATTGCTGATTTGTTCCATGGTAGAATATGGCAGAACGGTTGATCACCTTACGTTACTTCCTCCAATGTTTCAAAATCAGGACTGCAAGACCTGTCCTCCAGTAACATCAGCATCCCACTTTCAGTGTCCAAATTTGACACATCGCCCAGAGAGCTCCTTCCATGAGCCATCCATCATCATTTTTTTGAAGCCTTAGGTGAGACAGATGCAGATGCAGAGGTGCGCGATCATCAGGATTCTTTTGAAACAAATTCTTTCATCATTTGATGAAACATGATGACACCATGAATGGATGTAGATGGGAGGCCTCCCGATTCCACATACAACAATTTGGCATCCCCTGCTCACCATAGGAGTGGCAATTTGGGCTAAAGTAGTGCCGCTGGCCAGGTATTTATCCCAAAACCAAGCGCTGACTTCGAACAAGATTTCTGTGACACTTTGACAGAGGCTGGCATTTAACCAGGAGTTCTTTGGCAATTTCATCTTGCGAAGATGGGGATAAACCCAGAAATTAAACATGTTGTGTTGCGCCTTTCAAGCTGCCACAAGTAGAAAAGGACCACAGGACATCACTAAACCATACTAAACCGTTGTGAATAGGAGTTCCATAGCTATATGCTGAAGTAGCGATTTCCCTGTCCCAAGTTTTGCCAGGTTTGGGAAGATGAGCAGCTACATCCCGACTTCAAGGACCGGGGCTTTGAAGTCATCCTGCTTGGATCAGCTTTAAGATACACATCATAAACCACCAAAATATCTGGATTTCAATAGATTTCGAACACCAGTATATAGATTATATATGATTAATTATGATTATATAGGTTGACTATCCCAGTCATGGCTACGAAGCACTGGCGACCTGTGATGACCCGTGACTCACCACACATTGGATGTTGATCTATCTGGTTCACAGAATCATCTTCCAGACCCAATCTAGTGACGATTCTAGTAACTTAGTTGGGGTTCCACTTAAAATCATTTTAAATTTAAATGGGTATGGGTCAATACCTATAGATACCATTTTTAGTGGGATGAACATCCATTTACCAGCTATTTTGATGTGAACTACAGGGGTACAGGGTTTTGACCCATCCCCAAATGAATGTATTCAAAAAAGCTTGGAATTTCCTAGAGGTTTCCATACTTTCCAGTGACTTTCCAGTGACTTTCCAGTCCATCAGCTCAGCCTGGGGCCAGGAGCCCGAAAGACTGGCGGCCGTGCGGCTACAGCAGGCACCTTTTTTTTCACATGGCGATGTAGCCAGAACATATCTGACAACCAATCAATTGGGGAGCTTCTTGAAATGACATCTATGGATAACATCAGATAGCCCTTACATGCGACTGATCATTTTTCCATACGACTTTTGGAAGATGTTGCTTTCATGACCAAGCATTGACACTCAATAAATCAGCGGATCAGCGGCTCTGACTTTTTCCAAAAAATGATGGTTATGAGGTGTTACTGTTGATGACATGTCATGAGATGTTATGAGATGTTATGAGCAACTATCAATCAAAGGGATAAAAAAAGATCGAGGTGTCGTGAAGCTGCCTTGCAGGTGCCAGTGATGTGTCCAGGGCATCCAGCTACCTGGATGCGGTGGCTCCCAGCTGATTTCATCAGAGAACATGGCGAAAAAAAACACCTACAATGAGCCACAAACATTGGGGAGGATTGTGCCCGCCGGCTGATTCCCAAAATTGGGGCTCCCAGTCTTTTTTTGGACATGAACTGACTCACCGGGCCTCACCTGAATTTTACCTTGTGCAGAAGATTCATGAGCATTTTCCAGCCGGAAAACAATTCTCCAAACATCTCCAAACAATTTGTCTGTTTGTATCATTCCTTGGATGTGCCACTTTTCATCAGCGTGGGCTTCCCCTTCTGTCCAGTTATGACACTTGGGGTCCACGACCACGACCGGCTGGCTGCCCTGGGCTCCAAACATCGCCGATTTCCGAGGCATCATCCCTTTGCCACAAGACCCGTTCCACCTGGACAGGTCCAATGGTCAAATGCCCCTGGAGATGGGATCGTTTCAAGGTTTTTTTGTAGCCCATATAGTGGGGGATGGTCAATCCATTCATTGGAATTTATATGTACCCATTGTTTTTGGAATCCCACTATAGGATGAGCCATTTTTCCAATCCCACCAAAAAGGATAGATTTCCATGAACCATTTCCCATGTTTTAACCATGCCATACATGGAGCCCGTCCAAAAAGGTTTGGAGGAGCTGTCAGAGTGGATTCCCAGCCACGAAAAAGGGGGCACTACATGTCGGGGATGGGGCAATACAAAGGAAGATTTTGGGGGATGAACATCCATTCACAAGCTATTCTTGATCTGATTCTCTATGAAAACCAGAGTCAAAAGATGCATCTCAGCTAGATATATTTCAGTTAACAATTCAAATATCTCAGGCGATGTATACCTCACCTAGAAATCAGACAAATCACAAAAAAAAAAATCCCAGATGGCACCCGGAGGTGCCCTTCGCGGCGCCAGTAGCTCGGGTTGCCCCAGTCTCCGTGGCGACCCCCTTGGCTGCACCCTTCCAAATCCCCTGCGTCGCGTCCCCAATGGTGGCGCCGCCGCAGTTGAGGGCCCCCAACTTCCAGGTGACTTGGCGCCGTGGCCCATTTTTTGTGTGATACACCTAGGACAAAATCGAAAAGGGAATTTCCATGGCTAATGATGTTGAATTATCGGAGGGTCGTATTTTTTAAATATGTTTTATCGTTTTGCCGCGTTTTGCCTATAGTAGGATGAAGGTTTCCTTAGTGGACATGGTAAAAGGGGGAGGATATGGGCTGGTGAGACCACGAGAAAAAATTGCTGGAAGCAACCAATGGAATTACGAAAAAGTTGGAGCTGCAGAATGTACAGAAATGGCAATGATGCTATAGAAGTCCGAACCCCCCAAATTGCACATTTAGGGGATTTCAATCAAGATGCAACTCATCACTTTTTCAGGGATCTCATAGGATCTCTTAATTCATCTGCCACATGGCTGATTCTTGGGTGACGGCCACGGCAAATCCTAAGCATGAACATTGCGGACCAAACAATTCTGGTTCCAGACCGGTCCAAGATCTTCTCCCGACGTACCGGGCCATATTTTCCATATGGTTTTGGGGTTCATATTTCTTGACCAGTTGGCCATAGACTTGTTTGGCACCGCCTGTTGCAGCGCACCCAAATGCACTAGGTGCCTGGGGTAATCCAATATGATGGAAAAACAACTAGTATATCCACTGAAAGCCGTTATTTCCCAAAAAATGCGCGATTTCAGTTGGGTAAGAGTAAACCTGGCCGGGCTGTGAACCCCAGGTGACCAATGAGCCCCCGCCAGCCCCGTGCTTCTCCCCTGGAGATTTTGCGAAGGCACAGAGCGGGGGGAGATTTTCTTGCATTTCACACTTGGGGGCCTTTTCACTAGTTTTACCGTTTGAGAGTCAAACGTGGCTGGCTCGAAAATCAAAGAGCTGAAAGGAAAATCACCATAAATCCCTGATTGAAAACTCCGAATGAGATCAAATGAGTATTCTTGGCTGCGGATTTTCCAGTGCAGCCAGGCTACATAGTCTCTACTTTGGTTGGTATGTAAACTCTGCTGGTGAGTGAAGTCTACTATACATTCTTGCCGGCTGAAACATTCATTGATGGCAATTTATGGTTATAATTGTTACATAGATATCGTCAAGTCCCCACTGGGAATGGAATACATTGACATGCATTGCACATATCGAACCCACATTGCAAATATTGCAAAGGGCGGATATCTGGTGAATTTCCAGTGCCAGTTTAGTTCACCCGAAGGGTTTCACATCACCAAGGCAGGCACACCCCGAGATCCAGCGCCGGTCACGCAAGAGGTCCCGTGCTTCGGTGGGGGGATGGAAAAGGTATCTTGAATCAAACATGGCAAAAATGATGGGAATTTCTTATGTTAAAATAGGAGACGCACTTGCGAGCTAATCGGGGGATGAGTTTGGAGCCCCCCAAAATTATCGGTTGAACAAAACTTGGGATGTTTGTTCTTGCCCGTTCCTGGAAGATTTGCAAGCATCACCTTGAGATGATCGTTGATGATCTCATGGAAGGGCCAATGGGTAAGGGCGGTACGATTCTTGGAACCATGTGGAAAGGGACATAGTACGATTCTTGGAACCTTCCATATTCATAAATTGGGATTTATTCATCCGGGGTTGCCCACGCTGCACATTGCAAGATGGCCACGCCAACCACACATGCTTTCGCTGATTTCCACGGGACCGAAAACGGCGCCGTGACCTAGTTTTTACCCTCTGATAGTCAAACATGGCTGGCTTGAAAATCAAAAGTTAAACGGAAAATCATCATAAATCATTTGTACAATTTTCCACTGTGCATTCGTGGGGCGATTTGTCTTTTGCCAGCCAGGTTAGATAGTCATCGTTTGGCTGGTTTTTAATTCGCATTCCTTATGGTCAAAGGAAGTTGGGAAGCAATACTTCCGAGTTACGAATGACTTTTACTTGATGGAATTGACTATGATGAAGGGTGGTGCGCGAGTGAGACTTGACCTTGATGAAGGGTGGTGTGAGACTTTACACTACATAACAATACATCAGAAAAGAACTGACTTTGATGAAGGGTGGTGTGAGACTTTACACTACATAACAATACATCAGGAGAGAACTGACCTTGGTGAAGGGTGGTGTGAGACTTTGCACTACATAACAATACATCAGAAAACTGCTGACTTTGATGAAGGGTGGTGTGAGACTTTACACTACATAACCATACATCAGGAAAGAGCTGACCTTGATGAAGGGTGGTGTGAGACTTTACACTACATAACCACACATCAGGAAAGAACTGACCTTGATGAAGGGTGGTGTGAGACTTTGCACTACATAACAATACGGCTGGGGTCGTTTGGTTCCTTCTATGTGTTTTGCAACAATGCTTGTTCCTGTGTGCGTAGTTCTATGCGTTTCTTGAAGCTGTGGTGCCAGATCGCATTGGAATGGCTGCATGATGTTGCATGGGCTATGTTTTGGGGAGGAAGCCGGAGCACGAAACCTTGTGTTTTCCCGTGTAAAGTGGCTGCAGCCGGCGATGAAAGGTACTTCGTCTGTGCGGCGGTTGCGGCTGGGGTCGTTTCTGTCGCGAATTGTTCCTCCTATGTGGTTTGCAACGAGTGGTTGTTCCTGTGTGCGTAGTTCTATGCGTTTCTGGAAGCTGTGGTGGCAGATCGCATTGGAATGGCTGCATGATTGTTGTCATTTGGTGTTGCCACGTCCGTAGATAGGTGCAGGTTTGCTACGGGATGCTGCGAAACGCAGTGTAATGGCTGCATGAATGTTGCATGGGCTATGTTTTGGGGAGGAAGCCGGAGCACGAAACCTTGTGTTTTTCCGTGTAAAGTGGCTGCAGCCGGCGATGAAAGGTACCTCGTCTGTGCGGCGGGTGCGGCTGGGGTCGTTTCTGTCGCGAATTGTTCCTCCTATGTGTTTTGCAACGAGTGGTTGTTCCTGTGTGCGTAGTTCTATGCGTTTCTTGAAGCTGTGGTGGCAGATCGCACTGGAATGGGTGTTGCCACGTCCGTAGATGGGTGCAGGTTTGCTACGGGATGCTGCGAAACGCAGTGTAATGGCTGCATGAATGTTGCATGGGTGTTTTGGGGAGGAAGCCGGAGCACGAAACTTTGTGTTTTTCCGTGTAAAGTGGCTGCAGCCGGCGATGAAAAGTACCTCGTCTGTGCGGCGGTTGCGGCTGGGGTCGTTTCTGTCACGAATTGTTCCTCCTATGTGTTTTGCAATCAGTGGTTGTTCCTGTGTGCGTAGTTCTATGCGCTTCTTGAAGCTGTGGTGGCAGATCGCACTGGAATGGCTGCATGATTGTTGTCATTTGGTGTTGCCACGTCCGTAGATAGGTGCAGGTTTGCTACGGGATGCTGCGAAACGCAGTGTAATGGCTGCATGAATGTTGCATGGGCTATGTTTTGGGGAGGAAGCTGGAGCACGAAACCTTGTGTTTTCCCGTGTAAAGTGGCTGCAGCCGGCGATGAAAGGTACCTCGTCTGTGCAGCGGTTGCGGCTGGGGTCGTTTCTGTCGCGAATTGTTCCTCCTATGTGTTTTGCAACGAGTGGTTGTTCCTGTGTGCGTAGTTCTATGTGCTTCTTGAAGCTGTGGTGGCAGATCGCATTGAATTGCTGCATGGTTGTTGTCATTTGGTGTTGCCACGTGCGTAGATAGGTGCAGGTTTGCAACGGGATGCTGCGAAACGCAGTGTAATGGCTGCATGAATGTTGCATGGGCTATGTTTTGGGGAGGAAGCTGGAGCACGAAACCTTGTGTTTTTCCGTGTAAAGTGGCTGCAGCCGGCGATGAAAAGTACCTCGTCTGTGCGGCGGTTGCGGCTGTCGCGAATTGTTCCTCCTATGTGGTTTGCAACGAGTGGTTGTTCCTGTGTGCGTAGTTCTATACGTTTCTGGAAGCTGTGGTGGCAGATCGCATTGGAATGGCTGCATGATTGTTGTCATTTGGTGTTGCTACGTCCGTAGATAGGTGCAGGTTTGCTACGGGATGCTGCGAAACGCAGTGTAATGGCTGCATGAATGTTGCATGGGCTATGTTTTGGGGAGGAAGCTGGAGCACGAAACCTTGTGTTTTTCCGTGTAAAGTGGCTGCAGCCGGCGATGAAAGGTACTTCGTCTGTGCGGCGGTTGCGGCTGGGGTCGTTTCTGTCGCGAATTGTTCCTCCTGTGTGTTTTGCAACGGGTGGTTGTTCCTGTGTGCGTAGTTCTATGCGCTTCTTGAAGCTGTGGTGGCAGATCGCATTGGAATGGCTGCATGATTGTTGTCATTTGGTGTTGCCACGTCTGTAGATAGGTGCAGGTTTGCTACGGGATGCTGCGAAACGCATTGTAATCGCTGCGTCAAGCTCGGTGCCGCGGCTGCATGCATAATACTATTGTCTTTTGCAGCTGAGCATCGTAAATCGTATTGGAATGGCTGCATCCACGCTGCGATAGTGATTTGTCAGCAGATTTTCTCAACTTTGGCGCTAGTGATTTTCCTTTTAAAAATCCTTTTAAAAAATGTTCAAAATTGTCGTTTTTCTGCTTTGGCGTCGAGATCCATCCGGTTTTGGAGCTGCAATTTGCGACACCATTGCGCGTAGTTCTATTGTGTTTTGCAACTCAGTCTCTGCAGATCGCATTGTAGTGGCTGCGTCAAGGTTGCTCGGTGCCGCGGCTGCATGCGTAATACTATTGTCTTTTGCAGTTGAACAGCGTAATTCGTATTGGAATGGCTGCATCCAGGCTGCGATAGTGATTTGGCAGCAGATTTTTTCAACTTTGGCGCTAGTAATTTTCCTTCTAAAAATCAGTTTAAAAAATGCTTCAAAATCGTATTTTTTCTGCTTTGGCGTCGGGATCTGGTTTTGAAGCTGCAATTTGCGACACCGTTGCGCGTAGTTCTATTGTGTTTTGCAACTCAGTCTCTGCGGATCGCATTGTAGTGGCTGCGTCAAGGTTGCTCGGTGCCGCGGCTGCATGCGTAATACTAATACTATTGTCTTTTGCAGCTGAACAGCGTAATTCGTATTGGAATGGCTGCGTCCAGGCTGCGATAGTGATTTGTCAGCAGATTTTCTCAACTTTGGCGCTGGTAATTTTCCTTTTAAATAAGTACTGGGAAGCGAATAATTTTTAGTAATTACAAAGTAGTACTGGGAAGGACTGGGAAGTGTGGAGTGTGAAGTGTGGAGTCTTAAGAGTACAGTGTGAAGTGAAGTGTTGACTGCGAAGGGTGCAGTGTGAAGAGTGCAGTGTGAAGAGTGCAGTGTGAAGTGTGAAGACTGTCAAGTGTGAAGTGTGACGTGGAGCTTCAAATGTGACATGTGAAACAAGACACCAGTTTCGCAGAGTGCACGCACGCACGGGCATCGCTGGCGCACGGCGCATGCAAGTTCTATAGATGAGAAAAGTCTTATATATATCTTTAAGGCAACTTCCGCCCCGCCTCGTGCGGGTACTACTGGTAAAATCCACCTTCTTGCTGGCGAAAGCACACTTTACAATTGAATCCACAGTTTGAATGAGAACAATACCTAATTAGTTATATATAGAGATGAATCTTATCAAAGGCATATAGATTTTCATGATTGTTCATTGCTAGTTTAGTTTACCCAAAGGGTTTCACATCATTTGAGCCTCCTTGAAATGATTTCAACTTCAATAATCGGTGGATTTTCTTTTTGCCGGGCTGGAGCCCCCAGAGAGTATCATTTGTTGGGCGTCGGGTTCTTGTCTTGATGGTGATCAAAGATCACAACGATCTCACAGGGGTGATCGGTACTGGAACTCTGGTTACTTGATGTTACTTGGTGGTTCCTATTTGTGAAGAAAGGATGCATATGGGGTTAAAAGGAGCTTTGGCACTTCCCCGGCAGGTGGCCAATGAGCCCCCGCCAGCCCCGTGCTTCTCCCCCGGAGATTTTGCGAAGGCACGGGCAAGGGGGGGCGTTTTTTTTTGGGGGAATTTGACCGGACATTTTCCGTGCATTTCTGTAGTTGGTGCCTTTGTACTAGTTTTTACCGTTTGATAGTCAAACATGGCTCGCACGAAAATCGAAGAGTTGAACGGAAAATCATTATAAATCACCATTTGAAAACTCCGAATGAGATCAAATGAGTATTCTTGGCTGCGGATTTTCCAGTGCAACCAGGCTAGATAGTCTCTATTTTGGCTGGTAAGTACATAAAACATCATTTGATGGCCATTTATGGTTATGATTTAGATACTGTAAAGTCCCCATTGGGAAGATTACTATTCTTATACATTGGGCAAATTGGCATATTGAATCAAGACTGCAAACGGCGGAGTCTTGCAGAATTTCCAGCGCTAGCTTTACAGGCAGGCACGCCCCGAGATCAAGCGCCGTCCAAGCAAGAGGTCTGGTGCTTTGGTGGGGGGATGGAAAAGGTATCTTGAATCAAACATGGCAAAAATGATGGGGATTTCTTATGTTAAAATAGGAGACGCACTTGCGAGCTAATCGGGGGATGAGTTTGGAGCCCCCCCAAAATTATCGGTTGAACAAAACTTGGGATGTTTGTTCTTGCCCGTTCCTGGAAGATTTGCAAGCATCACCTTGAGATGATCGTTGATGATCTCATGGAAGGGCCAGTGGGTAAGGGCGGTGAATAGATTGGGACAGTAAGTATCCAGCAAATGACCGTTTGCAAGGGTCAAACGATTTTTCCAAACAGTTTTGGATGATCTTGGATGTGGCAAAAACAAGGGCCAAAGCAACGATTGAACATGGTCGTACCACCTAGAACCAAGCGATTGGGTATGGGTACAATCCGTGGGTTGGTCTTCACAGTCATTGAACCTGCTGTTCGATTTAAGTACTGTCATCCCTGCCCGATTGGCATATGTTTGGTCGTATTCCCTTCCTGTTCTCGAGGGATTCCATGTGTGGTGCTAAGTTTGTCAGAGCACCTAGGGTCCATGGGTTCTTGAATCTCTTGAATCACGACAGTCAAAGCTTTCCAGCAGTTCTCAGAAGCATGGCCCACAAAAAGTTCAGAGATCTCACGATAATTCTGCTTGCTTGGAAGATAACATGTTTGTTTATCCTTGGTTTTGGAAGAGCATTGTTTCTCTGTTTGGAAACGCGGAGAATTTCATCCAAGATCGACCAGGCCAGCACTCCACCGCCTCCCGCTACACCACCACAGTGCGATTTGTCGCTCGAGGTAGCGGGTTCCCAGCCCCCCTTTCCAAAGGTCAACCTGTGTTTGGGTGCTTGTAGGTAATTTGGTCGCTTGCTTGCCACAGCTGGAACATGCTAGATTGATATATCTAACATCATCTTATCTTATCAATTTTTATTTTGTCCTATCTTATCCTGTCGAATCTATCGAATCGATCGATTACAAGCCAGTTGCTCTCAGAATGAAGCATGGCTCTTGTTTCACTGTATAACTCGATCTAATCTTAATCTATCTGGAGGTTCCCCAAATGGAGGCGCCCCCAAATCATCCAAATTAGAAAACGATAGTAACTAGTATTGACGCTCATGGGCTTGGGGATTCCGAAATTTAAGGGCCCACATGTATCTAACCTAATCTATCTAATTTATTATCTATATAATCTAATCTATCTAATCTATCTAATCTATCTAATCTAATCGATCTAATCTAACCTATCTAATCTAATCGATCTAATCTAATCGATCTAATCTAATCTAATCTAAATCTAATCTAATCTATATAATCTAATCTAATCTATGTAATCTAATCCAATCGATGTAATCTAATCCATCTAATCTAAATCAAATCCAATCCAATCTAATCTAATCTAATCTATGTAATCTCATCTATCTATCCTATCTATCCTATCTATCCTATCTCTCTCATCTATCTTATCTATTTTGTCTATCGTCTACATTATCTACCTTATCTACCTCATCTATCTCATCTATCTAAGCTATCTAATGTATCTAGTCCATTTAATCTCTCTATCTATCTCTCTATCTATCTGGCTATCTATTTATCTATCTAATCCAGCTAATCTATCTAGTCTATCTAATCTATCTGATCTATCTATTCTTTTGAATGTTTCTATATAATCTATCTGGTCTATCTAGTCTATCTAGTCTATCTGATCTATCTAGTATCTAATGAATTAATCTATCTAATCGATCTAGTCTAGCTAATCTAGCTAATTCATCGAACCTATCTAATCTACTAGTGCAACAGTGCAATCCATGTAATCTAGCCAATCCATCCATCCTATCTATTTATCGATCCTATCTTACCTATACTATCTATCTTATCTATATAATCTAACCTAACGCAATTTAATGTAATCTAAGCAACCTAATCTCTAATCTATCTCTATCTATGCCTGGATCTTCAAAAGGCCCCTTTTCTGCTCATATGATTTTTTGTTCGGATTTATCATTCTGTTTTTTGTGCTTTACTCCACCCAAAAATATCCAATGTGTATCCTCAGGGTATTTGCGCTCATTTCCCAGGAAAATACGACAATTTTCGCTTCAAACCCGTGAAGTGGAAACATGCCAAGACTGGTGAAATTACTCCCATTTGCAGAAAAAACAGTTCAAGAAACATAATTTTCTCAAACGCGCATTTATATGTTATTTTGTTGCCGGTGCCGGTATTTTGGCACAACACAATATAATATAGCATGTTTCAGTGTTATAGAATGTAACATTGTAGCTAAAATGAAAGATGCTAGTAATAGTGATAGTAACAGTAATACTGTAGTCATAGAAATAACGAGAATATAATAAATAATGATCATATTCAAACGTAATATAAACTGATGATACCTAGTAACGATATATTTTTATAATAGCAGTAGAAAAATAATAACACTAACAATGATAAAGACAATGATAATGATCATGACAATGTTCAAATGATGATCATAAGAGTGATGATTATAGTAATGATAGCACAACATACATATTGGTACACGGAAGTTTCGGAGATAAGAACCAGGCAGACGACATCTTTCCAGTTGAACGACTGCAAATCGACATTCCGAACCGAACTGGTGTCACTTCATGTTGACCCAGGATTTTGTATGGATTATATTTAGATATAATACTATATATATAATACTATATAATACTATATATATAATCATATTGCACACACTGTAATAGCTCCACGGTTCATTGCTGTGATGGGGGAGGCGATTTCCAGTTATCGTGTGCTTCTCATTTGTGGTCCAACTGCATGGAACCGGGCCCCAGGCTGGAGAACTTCCATCGGTTCCGGGCTCCCAGTCCTTGCAGGATTTGTGGAAAGCGAGGCTTTCCGGGGGTGAAGTGAAGTTCTTCATTTCCCAACATCTTTTTTCCCGTTCCCCAAAGAATTGACTGATTGGTGGTTTGGAACATTTTTTATTTGTCCATAATATATGGGATAATCCTTCCCATTGACTTTCATATTTTTCAAGGTGGTTGAAACCACCAACCAGTTGACTTTTCCCCCAGCGCTCTCCTCAGGTTCCAGCCATTCCAGCCCTGACTCGTTCCGAGGTGGGCTCGGCAGGCCATGCGAATGGCAACTGCAAGCCGTGCGCCTTTCTGTTTAAAGTGCCCACAGAGACCAGTACCAAGGAGGCACCGACCCGGCGACCACGTTGTGGATGTGGATGTGTGTTGGGGGTGCAAAAAACCAGTGGTTTATAAAAAACAACAACCAACGATTATACAGCCAACAGATATATAACGTTGTATAACATTGTATAACATTGTATAACCATATATAACCAACCTTAACCCACAAAAGGGTAGAAAAGGCGTGTCGCTGTTGGTCTGTTGTTGTTGGTGTTGTCGTCGATGCCATCGTTGGGATGTCGCACGGCGGCACGGCCCCAGGGCTGTGAGAGCGGAATGAACTGCAACTTCTGCCATCTCTGCCCACCAGGCCAGGCTGCCTGTGGCCATGGCATATGCCATGCTCAAAACTGGGGTCTAGAGGCCAATATGAAGGGCTGCATGCAGGTCAAGATCATGATATCACGAGTGGCTTGGGGTTTCATTTATTTTAACCACCAGTCGTACCAGTGCTGATCCCACTTGGTTCGTGTTTTCGGAATTCAAAACGCTAAGCAGACTCTTGATTGTTGACGGTTACTGTAACATACCCGTTTCCCCGCAGTCTGTTTGGTTCCCTACTTTCCAGTCGTATAAGCAATAATGGACATCCCCGATTTATAAATATGTACATATTGATTTATTTGTTTATTGTTTATTTATACAGACAATTTTTCCAAAATGGACCTGGTGGTGTTCCATTGCCAGGGACCCCCATTTTGAGACTGCCAAGGTGAGAAGAAGCGTCGACGCAAAGGCGGGGACCAGCTTCGCCAAGGTTGGTCAACGGTTGGTTGATACTGGGGTGATAGTGCCTATGGAGATATGATTGGTTTCATATAGTTTGGTTCCCATTTTAGGCGTGTGTATTGCTTTTGGTTTGAACGGGTATGTAATATCGTAGGGACTATCACTGATTATGAAGGCATCCGGGATGGGAACGAATATCAACAATGTTTGGATGTTCTCTACTACTCAAATGTGCCAAGGGAAATCAACCATTTTTATGTTCAAAACCCTCTGTCATCCTTTCGTTCTGGGGACTCCCGTAAGGGATGGACTAACTCCCTGGAGGCAACGCAGCAGCGTTCTGGGTTCAGTGTCTCCATTGCATCATGCCCAACTTTGCAAAGTGCATCTTTTTGTTATGACAATCCCTGCTATACTGGCTAGCACAACCCCATATATATATTATATATATATTATATATATAGATATATTATATAATCATCAATCAACAGGCTCAAATGGGAGAATCTTCTGTGATGATCTGAATAGTCATCATGGCTTCCTTGGGTCCCATCTCTGTCAGATGCTCCTTCGATCTGGGTGGTCTAGTTCGGGGTGTCTGTTGTGGCAATTCTAATGGAGAAAATCATGGCCAGTGGATTCTGCGGTGCCCGAGTTCAGACAAACAACTTGAGCGGCACCCTTTCCTTGTGCTCGCCAGTCGAACTGGCCAAGAAAGCTTGATACGATGAAGGTGCGGCTGGATGAAGATGATGCAAACAGAAGGTTAGATCCTTTTTTCTGGAGAATTAACTTGCACACATTGAAGATTGGAGCCCTCCGATTTTTGCTGATTGTAATTGATTGCATCAATCAGCGGGAAAGCCTTTTTGCAGAAGGGTCGGGGGAATGCCGAGCCGAGCCTTTCTAGGTCCTTCACTGCCCTCAACCAAGCTGTATTTCTACTGGGATATCCTTGGAATCAAGGTCCAATAATCATTTAGTCTAGGGCTTAATAGCCACTCGCAAATGGGTTCGGGAAACTTTCCCTGTAACTAGTCTAGGCTAGGAAATGGATCAGTTGTATTTTTGCCTTGCTGGATGACTGGGCACCTTGTCTAGCTGCTTGTTTTTATCTTGAACATTTTAAGATGAACACCTTACATTTCTTCTTCTCTTCCAATCTGAGCTGCGTGCTTCCAGACTGCACTTTCGCCCTTACCCACTGCTTGTTTGCTTAGTAGAAGGCTACACCATTAAACTTTTTCCAACAATTTGGCGCTTTGCAGCTGATGGCGTCAATTCTTTTCCCCGAACTTCTGGGTTGTTGTGACCTTTCAACAATTCTGGCCAAGGTAGATGGTGAGATGTGAGTGAGTGAGTGACATTTTGACTGTTTTTTCCATGCCCGTGGCACTTCGAACCGCTGACATCCACCGTTTCAGCGGATATGTCGCTGGATTTGCAGCGGTTGCCGGTTGCGTTCTTTATATGCGAAAGCACACATCCCGGCAACGTTTTTGCGCGGATGTGTCAACAGTTTTGACATGTTTTGACCAGTTTCATGGCTTTGGAGAGTGAAACTCTACCAACGCCCGGGTCTTCGTATGGAGCTTTGGCCCCCAAAGCAATCGCCGAAAAAGGGCCGAAGTTCAGACCCATCGAGGTTTGTTGATTCATCGATGATCATCGATGTTCATGCGCCCAAGGTGCATGGTCGAGCCGGAATCGTGTTTCACAGAGTTTCACAGCAGGAGAGGAGGTATTGGTTTTCTCATGTTTTCTCCAAGGGTCCCAGATTCTGCAGGCATTTCTATTTGATGTATGTGATGATGGTCGTTCGTTGTTTCTGGGTCGGAGTTCGACAGAGATCCAGAGGGCCCTCCTCTCTTTTGCAAAGCTGCCCCTGGACACATCGTCTACGTCTCGGAGATTGACCTTGTGCCATATAGCTAGGTGAGATCGCGTAACGTCCAAGAACACCGGCAGGGCCGGGACCGGGATGATGGCCGGATTCTGCTGGTTTTAAAGCTATGGTAAAAAGCGGAGATGCTATAGCCATGTGTAGCCCATGAATGCCCAAGAAATCTTCCAGTGACTTGAAGGTTTCAATCCCCATTACAACTACGACCATTTACGACTTCCAGTGTTGATACCATCAGAAGAATTAACCCCGGAGACCCCCCAATAATTAGCAAGCTCCGAAATTCTGCCAGAACGTTGTGGATCTGTTAGTTCTTGGGTCTTCCCAAAGGTTGAGAGGCCATGAATCCCTAAAGCTGTGCAGAGGAGAGCGGTGATTCGACGGTCCTGGCGGTGTGGTCTTTGGACGTGAAATCGGTCCCATGTCTCACTTCTTCCAAGCTGCGGCTCAGCTACTCAGCAGCTACTCAAAATGGGGTGCGAAAAGGATTCTCTTGGCGATCCAAGAGTGCTCAGGGCGTTCATCAACCATGTCATGATATGTCATGTCATGGCCGTAAAATGTGGCCATCAGTGGGAGTTCAGGGTCCAGAACTGGAGAAACGGCAAGTGCACCATCTGGACGCCGCGAGGCCGCGAGGCAAGGTACCCTGAAGGCTGTTTTTCCTGCCGCAACATTTCCAGGAGCACAATGTATGCCGGTAGCGCTGCAAAATGATGCAACATGTGTGGTTTATATACACAGTGACGATTATACGAAACACACAAGCAAATGCAAGAATTGCTAGTAACTGGCAATGTCTTGGAAACACGGGGCATGACAAAACAACATTTCAAGCTCAGCGGCGAAAGGATTTCACTATGGTTATTCACATTGCACCATGATGTTCGTACAGCCATCAAAACTTGCAGGTTGTCATGTGTCCACAACTATCAAAACAACAACGCGAGGAACATGAGTGTGGAACGGTGTAGATTTAAGGGCACATTCTTGGCTTTCTAGCCACGGTGTGCCATGGGTGCAAGCCCCTCTGGCACACGCTTGGGCGCCGAACCTTCCGACACAAGATGTTCTCCTGATGCTGTGTCTTAGCGTGGAACATCGCGGAAAAGCTGGGTTGGTTTGATGCACTTCCCGGTAGTTGTGCCGAATCTGGGAAACATCTCCCGTCCTGATCAATCCATGAATCATCTAACAGTCGAATGGTCGGAGGTTTGGCCCCCGGTCACGTCAGGGATTGGAGAAGATCAAGGGGAACGCGAATGGGTCAATCATTTTGCGGGTGGTAAATCTTGGGTTTTCTTAGCAGCGGGGGCCATGGGACAACACAACTTCCCAGTGAGAAACTTTTGAGTTACTCTTGTGAAACTTCTAAATGAGAATTTTCTGAGTTACGTTCTTCTTATTGCCTTTTAAAGGTGGCCTCTCGTTTCTTTGTCTTCTTCTTCTCCTTCTTCTTGTTCTATTCACCCCGCTTCGCGTGGGGTGGCCGCCCACACCGCAGGTTTATTTCGGTCCGTGAGAGGGGCTAAGGGTGGTGTGGAATATGAGGAGCAGAGCAGCACAGGAGAATTCCCCCCCGTAGGGGGCTTCCCAAGCGACGGAATTTTCACTTTTCCCCCGTGAAGCTTCCCAAGCTAAGAATTTTCACTTTCCCCCCTCGTGGGGGCTCCCCAAGCTAGGGAATTTTCACTTTTCCCCCCCGTGGGGGCTTCCCAAGCTAGGGAATTTTCACTTTTCCCCGCCGTGACAGCTTCCCAAGCTATGGAATTTTCACTTTTCCCTCCCTTGGAGGCTCTCCAAGCTGCGGAATTTCAAATAGCTAGACAACGACGCCTAGATAGTCCCCCAAATCCCGTGTTCTTTGAATGTGTTTCCATGTTTTTGCAATGGTTTCCTTCAAAGCACGGTACTTTACACTTTTGTCGCCATAAAACCGGTCGAAAACATCATGTTCGACAATGCTTCCAATTCCCTTATCTCCCCAACCGTTGAAAATACCGCTATTTACAGTGTTTTCTTCAATTTTTCCATGTTCCAATGCCGGTAGCCAACTCCAACATATATATAAGAAATCCTTCCAAAACATTGTTTTTGACAGTGTTTTTCCAATGTTTCCAGTCAAACAGACGGTAATTTACACGTTTTTTGCCATAAAGGCAGTAAATCCTTCCAAAACATTGCTTTTGACGACGGTGTTTTTGTAATGTTTCCAGTCAAGCATACGGTAATTTACACGTTTTTTGCTATAACGTCAGTCCAAAACACTTGTTTTTGCAGTGTTTTCAATGCTCTGGCATCCAAAAACCCTGCAAAATCTTGCTATGTACAATGTTTTTTTCCATTTTTGGCCGTTTTTCCATTGCCGGAAAGCTACCAAAATGACCCAAAATTCCATTTCAATACCCTCTTGCGCTCAGACACCCAAAAATCCTCGAAAAATGTCGCAAACACCACCTAATTCTGGTCTCGGTGCGAAACCGTTTTTGGCCCCCCCCAGCTAAAGCTGATATAGCGACTGCTATATTAACAAATGTGATTGAGCATTTAGTGTTGCTGTTTCCCCCCAATAAGCACGCCTTCACCGCTTTGGGTGTGGGCGGATTTTGTCTTGTTGTTTTGGGTGTTTTTGGTGGCTGTTGCTGGTGCTGGTGGTGATGGCGGTGCTGGTTCTGGTGCTGGTGCTGGTGGTGTTGCTGGTGGTGCTGCTGGTGGTGGTCGTGGTGGCGGCGGTGGTGATTCTGTTTCTGTTGCTCTGCCTGAACCTGATGTTCTTCTTTTTAATGTTGTTGCTGCTGCTGTTGTTGTGGTGGTGGCGGTTGTTGGTGGTGATGGTTGTTGTTGGTGGTGGTTGTTGTTGTTGTTGTGGTTGTTGGTTGTTGGTGGTGGTTGTTGTTGTGGTGGTTTGTGGTTTGTGGTTGGTGGTTGGTGGTTGGTGGTTGGTGGTTGTTGGTGGTTGTTGTTGGTTGTTGTTGGTTGTTGTTGGTTGTTGTTGGTTGTTGTTGGTTGTGGTTGGTTGTTGGTTGTCGTTGGTTGTTGGTTGTCGTTGGTTGTTGGTTGTTGGTTGTTGGTTGTTGGTGGTTGGTGGTTGGTGGTTGGTGGTTGGTGGTTGTGGTTGTGGTTGTGGTTGTGGTTGTTGTTGTTGTTGTTGCTGTTGCTGTTGATCTTGGTACTGTGGGTGTTGTTGTTCTTGGGCCTTGTCGTTATTGTTGTTATTGCTGTTGATGTTGGTTCTGTTCGGGACATCGTCTTCTAATGCCCAGTAGGCGACTTTCCAATAAAATGCCTGCAAAAAGCAGAAGAAACAACTACAATGTTAAAACATTGTGGGCTGAGGCATCACTCTCTCTATTTGTGTGTATGTTTTGCACTGGGATGATGAAAAGCGACTTCCCGCAGTTAGGCTCAAAACAAGCTTGATAAGAACTAGACGTTACATCACATGGCCAGGAAAGTAAAGAAAAAACGTGGCAAGAAGCTTGGCCACGCGGCCGTGCTGTCAGGAAAGATGTGGACGCAATGGAGGAATCACATACTGAAGACTTCTACTACATGGCTCTACGTGGTTGTCACCCTCACGCATGCTTTCTGTGCTCGTGTCAGCGAAGCGTTGAAAATAAGAGCTAGTGATTTCCACTGGTCTGGGAAGACTGTGACTATTGCGGCGCGCAAACGTCAACCATAGGCCAGATTGAAAAAAACAAGCATGTTTGTCATGCACCCTGGAAGTTTCAACTTTTGCAAGAGTATCTAGGTGGTTTCAACTTAAAGTGAAGCGTAACTCAAAATGTTCTCAATTTGAAATTGTGTTTTTCCCACAGCCCCCGCTGCTAGAAAAGCACCACCCTTCAGGTCAACAAAGTGCTTTTGAACGCTGTTCTTCCTACGCTTCGCCGCTTGAGGAAGAAGGGGAAATCCCTTGTACGTAAGAGACGTTGCGGCGTGCGCGGCGCAGTGTCTTTCAAAGACTCCTGGAGTTGGCCTACAGGGCAAAATTATTTGTTTCCAGATCGGACGGGAAAATCCCATATCAAAAAGGACATGGCGTGTCACGCGATTCAAAAAGCTAGGTGTTCGTTTAAGGCAATGGAATCACACAAGATCAGGAGTCATTCAGGAAGACATACTATGATCAATACTTTGAAATCCGAAAATGTGCTGGCAGACGCCGGAATGAGTTTTGCAAGAATCTCTCGCTAACGTACATATGATGATCTTTATGGCCAGCTAAATCAGTTGCAAGCAGGCAACGCTTTGGAACTTTAACAAACGTTTGAAAAGGACGCTGAAAGCTGTCTATGGCTGACTATAGCTGACTTCATTGCTTGCCCCAAAAAAAGGAATGGGGGCTGTGAAGCGGATATGACTGTATATAGAACTGACCTATTTACAATATTTCTTAAGGATCTTATGGATTGCTGGCAGCAGCGGCTCTCTTGTGGGGTGCGATGGCCTATCACAAATTCAGTTGAGCTAAGTGACAGATTCGCAACAGTCTCAGGAAGGAGTCCTAGGACTAAGGTCTCAACAGAAATACTACAGGACAACAGGTTGTAGGCAAAAACAGGTATGTGCAGCTCAGCGCATGCGCAGTGTCTTATTTCAGAGCCGGGCGCCCGGCTGTGAAATAACAAAATTGAGGTGTCAAAAGCGTTGATTTAATCATATCTTGCTACGTATCTTGCTAAGTGACGACTCTGAAACAGGCCACTGCGCATGCGCTGAGTTGCACACAAACGTCTGGAAACAGAAGATCCTTAAGAAAACCAATGGTGAAATGATTTTTTTTGCTTGGCAACTGCAAACTGCGATGCTCACAAATTGGTGATCCGGAGCCGGGCGCCCGGCTCTGAAGTAGGAAGTTAGAGCTTTCAAACCGACTGTTTCTTTCTACGCAAGATACGTAGCAAGTTCTGATTAAATCATCGCCTTTGACACCTCAATTTTGTTGTTTCACAGCCGGGCGCCCGGCTCTGAAATAAGCCATTGCGCATGCGCTGAGCTGCACATACCTGTTTGTGCCTACAACCTTTTGTCCTGTAGTATTTCTGTTGAGACCCAGTGTTTCTTTCTACGCAAGATGCATAGCAAGTTCTGATTAAATCATCGCTTTTGACACCTCAATTTTGTTATTTCACAGCCGGGCGCCCGGCTCTGAAATAAGCCACTGCGCATGCGCTGAGCTGCACATACCTGTTTTTGCCTACAACCTGTTGTCCTGTAGTATTTCTGTTGAGACCTTAGTCCTAGGACTCCTTCCTGAGACTGTTGCGAATCTGTCACTTAGCTCAACTGAATTTGTGATAGACCATCGCACCCCACAAGAGAGCCGCTGCTGCCAGCAATCCATAAGATCCTTAAGAAATATTGTAAATAGGTCAGATCTATATACAGTCATATCCGCTTCACAGCCCCCATTCCTTTTTTGAGCCAAGCAATGAAGTCAGCTATAGTCAGCCATAGACAGCTTTCAGCGTCCTTTTCAAACGTTTGTTAAAGTTCCAAAGCGTCGCCTGCTTGCAACTGATTTAGCTGGCCATAAAGATCATCATATGTACGTTAGCGAGAGATTCTTGCAAAACTCATTCCGGCGTCTGCCAGCACATTTTCGGATTTCAAAGTATTGATCATAGTATGTCTTCCTGAATGACTCCTGATCTTGTGTGATTCCATTGCCTTAAACGAACACCTAGCTTTTTGAATCGCGTGACACGCCATGTCCTTTTTGATATGGGATTTTCCCGTCCGATCTGGAAACAAATAATTTTGCCCTGTAGGCCTCCAGGAGTCTTTGAAAGACACTGCGCCGCGCACGCCGCAACGTCTCTTACGTACAAGGGATTTCCCCTTCTTCCTCAAGCGGCGAAGCGTAGGAAGAACAGCGTTCAAAAGCACTTTGTTGACCTGAAGGGTGGTGCTTTTCTAGCAGCGGGGGCTGTGGGAAAAACACAATTTCAAATTGAGAACATTCTGAGTTACGCTTCACTTAAGTTGAAACCACCTAGATACTCTTGCAAAAGTTGAAACTTCCAAGGTGCATGACAAACGACAAACATGCTTAATAGTCACGGCCTTCCCAAACCAGTGGAAATCACTAGCTCTTAATTTCAACACTTCGCTGACACGAGCACACAAAGCATGCCTGAGGGTGACAACCACATAGAGCCATGTAGTAGAAGTCTTCAGTATGTGATTCCTCCATTGCGTCCGCATCTTTCCTGACAGCACGGCCGCCTGGCCAAGCTTCTTGCCACGCTTTTTCTTTACTTTCCTGGCCATGTGATGTAACTTCTAGTTCTTATCAAGCTTGTTTTGAGCCTCACTGCGGGAAGTCGCTTTTCATCATCCCAGTGAAAGACATACACACAAAATAGAGAGAGTGATGCCTGGGCCCACAATGTTTTAACATTGTAGTTTTTTTTTGTGCTTTTTGCAGGCATTTTATTGGAAAGTCGCCTACTGGGCATTAGAAGACGATGTCCTAAACACAAAAAACAAAACTTCTTAGGGGTCAAAAAAGGCGATGTCCCAAACAGAACCAGCATCAACAGCAAGAACAACAAGAACAACAAGGCCCAAGAACAACAACACACAGTACCAAGATCAACAGCAAAAGCAACAGCAACAACAACAACAACAACAACACCAACACCAACCACCAACCACCAACCACCAACCACCAACCACCAACCACCAACCACCAACCACCAACCACCACAACAACAACCACCACCAACAACAACCACCACCAACAACAACCACCACCAACAACAACCACCACCAACAACAACCACCACAACAACAACAACAAACAACAACAACCATCACCAACAACAACCACCACAACAACAACAACAAACAACAACAACCATCACCACCAACAAACCACAACCACCACAACAACAACAACAGCAACATTGAAAAGAAGAACATCAGGTTCAGGCAGAGCAACAGAAACAGAATCACCACCGCCGCCGCCACGACCAACACCAGCAGCACCACCAGCAACACCGCCCGCACCAGCACCACAACCAGCACCGCCACCACCACCAGCACCAGCACCAGCTACCAAAAACATCCAAAACAACAAGACAAAATAGAAGAAGAAGGAGGAGAAGAAGACGAAGAAACGAGAGGCCACCTTTCAAAGGTGATAAGAAGAACGTAACTCAGAAAATTCTCATTTAGAAGTTTCACAAGAGTAACTCAGAAGTTTCTCACTGGGAAGTTGTGTTGTCCCATGGCCCCCGCTGCTAAGAAAAACCAAAAAATTATAACCAATTAGAACACACACACACATTGCACACATGTATATATTTCTCCAAGAAACATCTCATGACATCTTTGGTGAATTCAACTCAGCTGGTTTCTGGGGATGTGTTCAACATGGCGCAGGTTTTGGTCTCCATTGAGGCATCGGAACGGGAACGGAACTTGTGGCGCAAGGGTCAGGGGTGACGACTGTGCAGTTGTGAATTTGCACCCGCCAGGTCGTGAATGGAAGCACCCTTACGTGACCTGGATGATCTATTGACGATCTTGGATGTCTTTTAACCCTGAAAATATGTGACATTCTTGCGACTGCAAAACATGACCAACTTCGAATTTCAATGAATGTCAAACCTGCATGAATAGATTGAATAGATGACTTCCACGCCGTTAAATTCAGGGGCTATCATTTCAGCAGCAAATCATCATTCTTTTGGGGGCTGCAATTGATCAGCGAGGTTTTTCCGGGGACATCCGGGGACCAAGGCTGCAGCGGTCACATACGCGACCCGAGCATTGTGCAGCATCGTTTCTTGGCGAAAGTGGTTGAGTTGTGGGGCATCCTGCGGATGATCCTGGAAGTTGGTGTCAGCGATGCTTTCGTTTGATAAATGCTCAGAGAGACTCCGTTTGTCGCTACCAGAGCCTCCGTTCTGATTTGATTTTTTCGTTTTTTCATGTTTTTTCCAGAAGTTTCGAACCCGAACCCACTCCAAGAAATCGATAGAAATCGAGTGATCCCAAGAAACAACGCAGGCTCCCTGCCAGTTTGGAATCCCATGCTGTTCTGCGATTTCCAGTCGCTGATGAGGCCTGGTCCGACGCGGTTTGCGCCATGCGCACTTCTTAGACCTGCATGCCAGTTAGATCCAGTTAGAAAGTGGGAAAGCATGATATCATTACATAACCCAGTCACATACACATGGATCATGGGGAATGCTGTTAATCACTTGCTAACTGGGATGTGCCCCAGGTTGGCAACAGGAAGGCAACAGGTTGCATGTGTTTGGATGTTGTCATGATGTTGTTGCTGTCTGCTTTGGTCATCGCCGACACTGGCAGGTGTTCATCAGCTATGTTGCCGTGGCGGCTTGCCAACGACAGTGGAACCAAATTGAAGCTGGCCGTCCTTCAATCGAATGCATTCGAATGCTATCCAAGTTCAACTGGTGCGAATGTAACTACCTTCGGATCACGGAAATGTCGCCCTGGACTGAACATATGCCCATCTCATCAACGCAGAAGTCTCACGCACACATCAATGCAAGAGGCAACATATATAGATTCATGGTTCAGCCAGCATTGCCTTCCCTGCAATCATTTCTTGCAACTTGCAACCGGCTTACATGCAAGTAGAGACAAAATCTTTTACCGCATACATCAAAGCTTTCTCAAAGTCATTGTCTTGAGATTGTCTTGACTAGTACGCGGATACAAGCCTACAACCTTCTACAATAACATACACAATAACTATGGTAGGAGCGACCATTTCCACTTGTGCCAGCGTGCCCCCCATCACACTCAGGCACCTGGGAATGGGGCCGATGTCGCAGAATCCAAGTGACTTGCAAGGTCTGTTGCATTTTCTGGGTTCTCTGATGTTCTCTGTGCTTCCCTCTGCGAATTGGAAAAACAGTCTCTGGCCATGAAATATCAGGAAATATCGATTTAATCACGAAAGGTAGCGTCAGCTACCTGAGTTCTCCGTGCTTCAGCACAAGCTTAGGGGGTATTGGGGGGCCAGCCCACGGAATTCATGGAATTCTCGCCGTTATGTATTGGATATCAATTATAAGGGGGGGGGGCCCCCCCCCCCGAAAATGGTCATGGGTTCAATTCCCACGGGTGACGCGGTCACGGGCCCCCACATTAGAGGCACACTTTCCATGAGGGAGATGTCCCTGTAGTCCAGCATAATTGGTATGCTTCAGCCTCAATAACAGTTGCTGCAAGGGGTCTTAAAAAGGGGTTTTAAATAAACCCCTTTTCGTGCATCATTTCACGCTGCACAAGACACCGTATCATGCAGTCATGCTCTGGATAAAATCATCTTAGACTGCGCAAAAACGTTTTTGGTGTATCATTTTAGGGGCGCAGCATTTTGACACCACTCCTCTCCCACTACACTACCTTTCGTCCGCCTCCGCCTGCTCTCAAGTTCGAATAGTTCAAGATTTTTAAGGGCTTTATACTGGTTTATGAATCCCCGACTGGTCATGTTCGTGGAAAAGTTAGAATCCGGAACCTTAGTTGCCATGGGTTTTGTTTTTCCGCTTTGGAAACCTTAATGTAGCGCAGCCCTTGGCATTGGCATGGGAAACACAAGCAAATAGGATTTGTCACTCGCAGATCACCCAGCCCACGCAGAGCACACGAGGGTCCGTATGTTTGATCATGATGCAGTAATAGTAATAGAAAGGAAGAGAATCACACCAAGCATATCCAAGCATCGCGTCTCACTGAGGCAGCACTTCAGTCTCTACGCCACCGTGGAGAACGGAGGTCCCCTGGGCCTCTGTCAGTTGCACTTGGCCGCCAGCCTTTGTGACACGCCCCGCGGGCCCCAAGAGTTGAGACCCCAGGTGGCCCGCAACGGTCGCCTGGGGTCCAGCTCTTGGCGCGGCCGGCTGAACCCCCGCAGCTGTCAGCTGACCCTGACGGCCGAGACGGCCGAGACGGCCTCCACGGCCTCCGAGGGCTGCGCGCGGCAGCAGTTTCTGGATGCCTTGGAGGTGCGGAAGGAGGTGGACGGGACCGTTCTGGCTGGCTGCGTTGTAACAGGGCAGCGTACTGTGGCGACCAGGGAAAGCGGCACCGGTGCCAGGCTTAGAGTTGTCAACAAGCGCACTGCAAGAGCGGGTTGTGGGTACAGAAGATTTGTTCTAAGTTTGGGGCGTTTGAAGTTAGGAAACAGCAAATTCAGTTCAACTCTGGCCCAATTCTGGTTTGTTCTCAGTTAGAAAGCTCGTGGGATCTCGTGGGCTTACAGCTATGGAGGTGAGTCGAAGAGTTAACCTGCCTTACTTTCGCTTCCGGCTTGGGATGATCACCCATCAGCTGACTGAGGTGCTACACCGGTCAAAGAAGACGTGGATGCAATGCAGGTTGGGGTGCCAGATGGTCATCTTGCAGTGAACATAGGGAGATCAACCAACAAACAGTAGGACCATTAGGAGTACAACGCAGAAGCTATGGTATCCCCAACCGTACCTTTATTGTTAACATTTGTTAACCAAATTGTTGCACTGTTGAATGTTCTAAGCAACATCTCCGGTTTCACCATGAACATGTCAGCAGGTGGTCCAGTCTCACGCAGTTGATTGCCTTTACTCTCTCTTGTAACTCGTAATCCGATATGAAGATGCAGACACCACTGTTCGGTTTGATGCCGCTTTTGATCTTTCCTTGTGGCTTTAAATCTTTAGACAATTTTAGACATATTTCTGCCCGAAACACGTTTTTTTCCCCTTCTCGCCCTGGTAGCTACTTTATTAACTGGTTGGTAACGGTTAGTAGCTGTATTGGATCTCCAAAAACCGAAGGTCCATTTCATGGGTTACCCACCGATCACCAGTTCGCCAACTCTCCATCGTGTGGTGGGTTTCATTCCCCAGCCCTGAGGGTCACTGACTCCATGGGCGCCCATGAAACTTTGCCCAGGTCGAGGCTCAAGATTTGCCCGATCCTTCGCCCTCGTCGACCAAACTTCCGGCGCAGGACGCGCGGAGCTCGGGGCGCCTCAGTGATTCAGAATACCTAGGTACATGATAGTTATGATAGTTGGGGTTGGGGAAAGGATTCCAACTATGGGGTTTAAGAATGTTTAAGATGGTTTTTCAGTGATGTGGGAGTCCGGAGGAGGTTATGATTCTCGGCCTGATATTTCGTTGATATAGGAGGCGGTGATTGGATATGCAGATCACCAGGCCATAGCATCCCCTGGCACCCTCTAAGTGTGGTTGGGCAAGTGGAAAAATCCACATCTCAAATAGGAAAATCATATATCACATGTATGTTTTGTATTGTTTTGTATGTTATGGGTTTTTCATTTCATTGTTATGGCTGTGATTGGTTACTCGCATCTCGTGTATCGATCTTTTTTGTCAATTTACCTGGATTGCAAGGTATTGTTACTTAGGTGTACCATCGCTGAAGGACCCTTGGCGGAAAAATCACAGCGGCAGGCAATGAACATGGTTGAGAATGGCTATGTCATGGCAGATGTATGTCACTAGATACTGTAGTTAGATTTGACTGGATTGGATTTGCTTAGACAACATCGGATCAGACCAGATCAGATAAGACAAGATAGATGAGCTCATGAATTTCAAATTGCCGAAAAGCACCATTCAAGAGAGAATTCAATGGGCTTAAAATGAGGACTTGAAGGCCAACCCTATGGAAAAGCATAAGCCTACTGCCAGGACGGCACCCATGCAGGCGCGGGCGCGGGCCCTACACGCCGCACGCGCAGTGGCGCGGTAGCCATGGAAGCGCAGAGAGCGCTGAAGGCGCAGAGGCACGGGGCAGGGTCCCAGGAGACACAAAAAGAAAGGATGGGAAGGAGTGGGATATTGTTGATTGGTTTCCTACAATGATTTACATGTTACATGATGCACATGTTTGTATTGGATATTATGGCTGTAGCGGCTTAGTATATAGTAATACTGTAATAATCCAGCAACGGTGGTTATACCAGTCTGGATAGAACATGGTAAGGGCATGTTTCCTCGAACTCAGTATTGATAAGTTGGGACATTGCATGTTGATAAAAAGATCTTTGGCATGTTTAATCCTATGCCTAAAGTATCCTAAAAGGATATTGATACTGGGTCCATCAAAGTGGTCTTTTTGAAATGTTGGGATGATCAGACTGCAGACATTTATGCAGATATTGATGTCAACCCAGGATCAATGAACCTTCAGTCTATGCATATTTGAACCAACAGGGGCTTTGGGGATATGTTAAGCATTGTTAAGCTTTCAAACCAACCAATGGTCAACAAGATTTGGTCAGGCTGGCAAAAATCGACCAAGATCAATTGAACATGCATTCAACCAATTGTCACTAGAAGACGGTTCTGATACTATTGGCAACATGTAAAGATACCAGCAAGTCTGGGCTTGCATAAATGCCAGATGGGGCTAACTGGAGGGTGGTTCAGAAATGTGCCGGTATTGCTGAGATACGATTCCATTCCATAAGAAAAGGGCAGCGGGGAGGCTGATTTCCCAACAGACACGGGAGCAAGATTTTTGGGTGGCTCTTCGGCGAGAATCATTGCCATGGGAACATCCACAGTTGTATGATGTTGTATGCATTTAAACTCTTCTCTATACCAGGTCTATAATTTCTAACACAAATTGTAGCTTATTCCACGTTTGAATACATTTGACCTGCTGGAACTAGGACTTCCCATGTCCAAGTTTCTTTATTTCTTGATTTGTCCAGAGGCAACGTGCCAACGTGTTGGGGTGTTGTTGGGGTACCCCTATTTCCGACAAACCTTTTTGGATGAGCTGTCCCTTAACCACGGGAATGCAAACTGGAAAAAAGGGATAGAACAGAACAATCCATGGTGAATCGAATCTTCCCCCACAGGCTTGCCTTCTGAGGGACACAAAAAGAAGCCTGCCTTGTCACCAGGGAAAAGTTGGAACGAGAACGGAGGGAGGAAGAAATGGAGCGAGAGATGAAGGCAGCTTCGCTGCGAACATGCCTGGGTTATCCTGGGTTGGTGAATCCCATCCCCAGAATATATTCGATTCCCTTCAATGGGCACTCAAAATGAATAGATTCAATACGAAGCAAAATGAATGGGTTTCCATTGTGGCTACGACATTCAATATATATTTGTTTTTTTCTCTCCCCATGATCATTTATGGTTTACCATTTTACCACCCTGTAAGTACCATAAACTTGCGATAACCATCATTGATAAACATCTAGAAAAGGCGTTCCATTGACTGATTGCTAGTGTTGACGGGGTGAATATTACCTTCGATGAAGGGGGAGTCATCGGAAGCTCAGAATCCAATCACCAAGGTGGAACTGCGGTAGGTTCTGGACATGAACTGTGGGCAACTATAGCCTTCCATATTTGTAGGAAAAGATAGAGGTTAAAACCAAAAGCCACAGGTGCCGTGTTCCGCCCTGTTCCCAGTCAGCAGAAAACAGGCAAACTGCACGGCCCTCATTGCCTTGCAAGATAGCGAGTATCATAGGCGCAGGGGGTTTCTGTCACCGTGGGCGCCGGAAGATGCACACTGTATTTTTCCAAATCGACGTGTCAACGTAGGATTTGGACGATTTCTGGGTTTGAACAGATGGAAAATCATGGCAAATATGGATACATAATTCATAATGGATACATAATCACACCATATCACAGCTGTGTTGGTGATTTTGATTTTTTTGTACTTTCCATCTTGGCTTGGATCATGAAACATCGGTCGACGAGAGAGTGCAATTGTTTGTGGGTCCAGGTGTCACATCTACCAGCCATCAACCATCGGATGTTTACGACACAACATGTTAGTTATAATAGCCAGTACGGTTGGCAACCAGCCATACATTGCATGACATTAATATTAACATGAACATTACATTACATTACATTACATTGCATTACATTGCATTACATGCATTGCAGTACATTACATTGCATTGCATTACATTACATGACATTACATACATTGCATTGCATTGCATTTCACTGCACTGCACTGCACTGCACTGCATTGCATTGCATTGCATTACATTATACACATATACAAAACACAAGTAGATATAAGATGAGTGATATCTGCACATGCATATGATATATTCTGCTCACCGACACATACAGACACACACAGACACAAACACACACGTGTGGATACATACATGGATGGATGGATGGATGGACCTCCCAGGAGTTTGCTTCATGATCAGCTCCAAGACCTCCGAAAGGCGATGGTGTTAGGGGCAGATGTAACCAACATGCGATGGTCTTGTCCAAAAAGAATCAAAAAGAGGTAGACTGTATACTTCTACACGGCCATTTGAGAGGGACGAGGACTTTTCAAACAGTGGGTTTGGGATTACCCTATTTTCAGACCAAGCCAATTCTTTTGTGACACTGTGACACCCTTTTTTTGTTTGAGGCGTGACTACGCAGCATGAAATCACCCACGTCTTCATCCTTGTCATAGGATGGTCTCAAAAAAACGGAGGCTTCAACAGGGTGGGCTGTGAAGATCAGCCGAGGAGCAGCAAACCAGCGAAGCGTCCAGAGAAGCACTGGAGGTCGATTTGGAGAAGGCGGTGAGGCAGCAAAATCATGCGACCTCGCGCCTCAGCAGGTGCGTCCTGGGGACTCCTGTCAACCTGAGGTACTTTATGGTACTTGAAACTCTTCCTATGGGGATATTCACGAACCAGTGACATATTTATTTTTTTGCATGTCTAAATGTCTAAATAAGATTGGCCATGCATTTCGGAGTTTGTATCGCAGATGGTTGAAATATGTGCTGCGCTTGGGGCGCACAGGTTTCGTGCCCCTTTTAGAGAATCTTGAAACGCTGTGTCAAATGGATTCAAATGGCCCATGTGCCAAAGAGAGGCAGCACAATGCCTCCCGCAATCTTCAATAATTTTGGTGGACGTGTCTCAGCATGAGTCCAATCAGCATCCCTCAAGAATAGATGAACTTTGCAACTACAAGGCTCATTTATTCAATTTATTCTGAAATATTAGTAATGCTTGTAGGTTCAGGCTCTTGGACTCCATGAAGACTGCTCCCCCAAAACAGCCCAAGCCGCAGGTATGGTGCGAAACTCAGGGGGAGGTCAGCCACGCATTTGGAACCATTTGGAGATATATAAAGTGCACTAAACATGCTACTGAGTGTGCATATATATATATATGTATATGTATATATATATAGACATGTATGTACTTTATATATATAGAATACATATCTATAATATGCATTTCATTATTGCTTTGCGCATCCTTGGGCTCTTTTTTTGGATACATTGCCCATCTAGATATGTTTTTATGTCTTTATTGTACCCGCAAAATCCTGCAACTGTATCTCCCATTGTGATATTGCCATATTTGGGATAAGCATCCATTTGCCAGCCATTTGATGTGGAAGCGAGGGTGACAGGGTTTTAACCCAAAGCCATGTCGGACTTGACATGATTTGACCACCAAAACCTTCCACTTTTCCTTCCTTACCGCCCATGCAATCCCATATGAAACCCTATTAAATCCCCATTACCCTCTGGTAATTTGACATAGCTATTGAAAATGACCATTTATAGTGGATTTTCCCATTAAAGATGGTGATTTTCCATAGTTATGTAAACGTTTACCAGAGGGTAGGTTTCCCGGTGAAACGATGCGAGCGACCCCGAAGAAAAAAAAACGGTGGCCGAGGCGACAACCCACGGCTGCGCCAGGAAGCCACCGAGGCGCAGGAGGCCGAAGACACGCTGCGGCGGCGCCTGGTGGAGCTGACCCAGCGACTGGTGGAGCTGAAGGAGAGCTGTCGAAACACCAACGGTACTGGAAGGTACTGGAAAAAAATTATGGCTGTTTGAAAACGGACTTTATGGAGAACTTTGAAAACAGACTTTGGTTTAACTGTTGGGTTGAGGATATAACCATAGGTATAAGTATATAACTAGGTGTTGGGTCCGTTGGGTGTTTATAAACCCACAAACATAGCGTCACGGGGCATCCTCTTGTAGGAATGGTGGTTTTTGTATGTTTTTGTTGTTTCATGAGAATGGTCGTTTTTATATGGCCCATCCCTATTTTTCATAGGAAGAAATCGGGAAGTTCCAGATGGTATGGCTATGGGTCGATTCCCTGGCACCCTGACGGCACCCTGACTCGTGTGGATCTCTGACTTATCAGGAGACAGAAAGACAAGTCAAGATAGATATTGATGTGGACAAGTGCTATATGATATATCTACAGATCTAGGATATACTATATATATAATTATATATAGATATCTATCTAGGATCAAGAGAGAAGTTCAGACTGAAGTAGGCATCACACCATTGGGTTCCTCTTGTGACAAGGAGCTGATCGCAGAAAAGGAGGAACTTCTGTGCATGGCAGCCCTGGCTGAGGGGCCAGATGGCTGATGGGCTGATGAAACACTGAGCTGCCAAAATTAGCCAAGATCAATGGATATAGATAGATGAGTCCAAAGATGAGGTATATAATGGTATATATAGTTAGTATATGTCAGTATAACCCAACATTGCCACTTCAATGGATGATCGATCCACCAGCACTCCATCTTTGAGATTCCACTTTTTCCTCCCACTCCAGATCGACTTGAACGCTTGTAACAGGAACAAAGTGATGCACAATGATGCACACCCCAACATGGTAAGTCTTAGGGGAACATGATAAACAATCATCAAACTTGAGCGCGCCCTATTTTCCTATAAGCCCAAGGAGGATTTCCATTGCCAGGGCAACTTGACCTCCAAGTGGATACGTGAGTCAACCTGCAAAACCTCCAAGTGGGAATGATTTCAACCACCGGGATTTCCACATGAAAGAAGTCTCCAAAAACTCCTGGGGGATGAGCTGCCAAATTGGACATGACTTTCGATGTGAAGGGGATACCCTCTGGTAAACTAACATGGCTATTGAAAATGGCCATTTATAGTGAGTTTTCCCATTAAAAATGGTGATTTTCCATTGCTATGTTAGTTTACCAGAGGGTAATGATAATGTGACCCAAAACAGGTGGAGATTGAATTCCTACTGACGAACGACCAAGAACTAGGAGATGATGTGCCCTTTTCACACAAAGTGTCCCAGTCAAGCCAGTGATTCGGCCATTTTCCATTTTGCGAATGTGCGGGCTCCGGGTGGGTTGAGATCCGCATCTCTCCCCTTGATGGCCCTGGCTGCGGACCTCCCCGAAAAATGGACAGGCAAGGGTGAGCTGTGGCAAGAAAAAAAGCAAGCGCTGCTGCTGAAACAGAGTCCCAGTCATCCACTCTGAAAAACATGAACAACTTATTGTCATGTTGTCATGTTGTCATGTTGTCATGTTGTCCTCATATCCTCATCCTCATCCTCATCCTCATCCTCATCCTCATCCTCATCCTCATCATTCTCATTTCTTCTCCTTCTTCATCTCAATGGTTCACCACGGAGAACCCCATCAGCATATGTCAGCACTATGCCCACGGCCGGGCTCCAGCCATCACCTGGGCTTTGAGCTTTCAGAGTTAAGATGGCCGGCTGCTGAGACTGGAGACCGTCAAGCGCCAGATGTCACCAATCTATTAGTCCTACTTTTCTGGCACCCCAAAAAAGATAAGCCATGTAATCTATCAGAATGTGAGTAGGATGTTAATTTCGCATTTTTTTCTCTCTCTCTCTCTATAAATATATATATAATATAATATATATATGTGTGTGTTTACATGTTCCTGTGCATTTCCCTCCTTTTTTGGGGGTTATGAAAACATCAAAGGCACGTCTCCAAGGCGCTCACCTGGGCCCCGTGGCACATGGGGCACATGGCCCTGTCGGAACAGATGTGGGGCCACCCGGCAAGGTGAACCGGTGGGTTAGGTGACCAAACGTAGCAACCCCAAGAATCATCCCAATTTTCACCAGAAATGGATGGACATTTCTTGATGTTTCTCTTTTTTGTTACTGACCGTGTTCATTTTCGACATTCACGGGGGCTTACCGCTTCGGCAAAGCACGCAGTCGGCGAGGTCTGAGGAGGATCCCCCAGTTCCTGGTATCGAGGATGCCGAGCCATCCGAAGGGACAGCGTGGCTGGGACCAAAGTTCGTGGCGCTTGGGCCCTTGGGGTGGGCCCAGCTCTCCGAGCAAAACCTGGTTGCCGGCACTGCCTGTCTTTCTAGTGAGAATCTCGACTTTGAATCACTGCAAGTCAGAACATTTGACTTTCAAACGCTACATTGACACACACACACACAGATAGATAGATAGATAGATAGATAGATAGATAGATAGCTAGCTAGCTAGCTAGCTAGCTAGATAGATAGATAGACAGACAGACAGACAGATAGATAGATAGATAAATAAATAGATAGATAGATAGATATATATATATAGTAACTAAGATAACCACAGGGCGGACGATCACAGGCCGTCCCGGTCCCAAGGCCGACATTCGGCGTGTCACAGCAGCTCACTACAAACCCGCCGCCAGCTCAGAGCTGGGGGTTTGCCATCTTCAAACATCTTTGAACATCTTTGATGCTGATTGATCCAATATGATCGAATATGAACATGCATACAGAATCACACACACACACATATATCACACATATATATATATATATAACTAACATCTTTGAAGCACTTTGGATCCAATGAGTTTTAAACACACAACCATACACAAACGAAAACCTTCGTTGCCTGGTGATTTTTTTTTTGGGGGGGGAAGGGGGTCAGTTGGAAGGCCAATCCTGCAGGTGGTGCAGGCGGAGCAGCCGTTTCTGGTCGATTTTTTTGGGAGCGGGAACCATAGATTTGGGTCATTCTTTTCGTCACCATCCAATGGTAAGGACATGACTTGCAGCAGCTGAAATTGTCGGTTACGGTTGGAGGCAACACTGGGAACCAATGCATCAAAAAACCATAAAAAACCTATAATGGCTGAATCTAATTACACTGACTTTATACCACCATTTGCATTCTATATATTCTCGCGACCAAACTCATTCCACAACGTGGCATGTTCCGGCAACCTAGCGTGCTATCGACAGTCCTCCGATTGATAGATGTTGTTTCAAGGACATCGGACATATGGAAACATCCGCATCGAATTCCCATTGCCGTATTTGTTTCACTGCTGATTCAAAGGAACTGCACGAAGCCAAAGTTTCATCCTCCAGCACCAAACAATACCAAGCCCTGGATCCCTGATGATTTCCCACATTTCTCATGGAAGATGATGAACATTGATGAACCATGGAGGTTTTCACCAGATTCCATGGCCTCAAATGACCGTTGTGAGGCCTCCCAGAGACCACAGGCCTCGCCAATGCGAGTGCAGTGCCTTGGCAAAAAACACACTACTTTCATAGTGGTGGTACGCGAGGAAAATCATGTACCACGGCGGCATACTCATTTTTGTGATATGAGATCATTTTTTTGCCAACTTTTTGGCGTCTCAGAGCTGCTGAAATTTGGATTCAACAACTTCAAGCACTGCTGTCACGCTTTTATGGATTCCATGTGGCGAACCCTGCGGTGCAGTATATCACAACATGTCACAACTGCGTAAGTCCTACTTTTTTTTTTAAACGCATGCGGAAAGAGAAATATATGCGAAAAGAACCAACACTTTAATTCAGCTCTTAGACCTTTAGCACACCCCACATAAATGTTTCCCGTTACGCTGTTTGATCATCATTCGAGGCGCTGTCATTTGCACAAGCGGCCGCAGCAGGGATGCAAGCGATGTGCCAAGTTCAAGACTCTGACCACAGGCCCTGAAAATTCTTTGGTGGATGACATGGCCTCAAAGTATCTCAAAGTCATGAAGTTGGGGTCCTGTATTGAAGTCCGTCCCAATGACTTTTTTAACACCCGCACGGGTAAAGTCATGACGGACCCGAGTTGATGATTGTTGTTTCGGGGGTAAGGTAAGGTAATCATGGGGCAATCCATTTTTTCCAAACTCTATGATAGCAGCCGGCACAAAGATTAATTATAGACACATTATTTCCACTATACAATTTGCCACATTTACTATCTGATAGCCGGCACAAAGATTGAATACACATCATTTCCATTCATTTACCACATTTACTATCATTTATTACTATTTTCTTTGGATATTTTTGAAACAGCAAATTCAATTTTATTGTTTTGGGATGTTTTGGGTCATTTGCGTTGCTACCAATGTTGACATATGTTGACTGCCCATTTTCCAGGCCAGATGTCGACCCAACTCGTAGAAAAGGTGGGTTCCAGTGAGGCCGGTGGGCGGGGCTGGAGGACTAATCCCTTCCCAACGTTAACCACCCCCAGAAACCATGGTGGATGTAGGGAATGAAACCACATAATTGGGACCAGGGGGTATTTAATATTAGGGGCATGGGATTATAAAGAGTTGATTGAAGGTTTTATATAGATCATTCTAGTAGGGAACACGATAAACCATGAACATTAGGGGTACCATGGTGGATTTCGTTGTTCGGTGGCACGTTTGCCCATAGTTTGCGAATCATTTGAATTTGAAGGCTATTTTCAACTATGTTAGAGCTGTACCTCCCAATTTTCAGGATGGTCAGAAAATGAACAACTTTAAACCACCAATTTTGATGGGTAATTCGTCCAAACCGTAGCAAATACCCACACAAGACTCAGGCGGAAGAGAGAGAGAGAGAGAGAGAGAGAGAGGGAGAGAGCCAGTATATATATATAATATATATATATATAATATATATATATATATAATATAATTCAAATATATAATATATAATATATAATATATATATATATAATATATATAATATATTATATAATATATATAATATATATATTATAATATATATATAATATATACATATATATA